AGTGTTGTTCAGCATGGGGGTGAGTAGAAATTGAAGGCTAATCATTTTTTGGGTGTACTATTCCTTTAACATCCTCGACGGATGCTTCCAGTTTAATCAAAATGGGACATTGCTTGTTTTGCTCCAGAGTCACAAGTGGATCTTTGGACCTTCTATAGGTGTTGCCAACTCCTTGGCAAGAAAAGTCTCTATTGGCTGTCCAAACAGGCACTAGATGACATCATTGCCTTTTTTTTTTTTGGATGTCTGTCAAAGCAGCGCAGAGAGACGGGATAGCAGGAAGGAAGAAACATGGGGATTTGAAGAGTTTTAAAGAGATTTGTACAAAAACAAGTAAAGAAAAAAATACATATGTATATATATCAGTGGCGGTTGGCCAAAAGAGGGCCCACAACGAATGAATGACCGTGGTTAAGACATAAAAAAAAAAAAAAAAAAATAACTTTCTTATGATTTAATTTTAAAATATATAAAATGTAAATGTGAGTAAAACTAGCAGAAGTTCAGCGGACAGGATGAATGAACGGTAGCCGGCGCGCGCGGATGACGTCAAGTCCTTTGCCCATAGGAAGACGTTACCTGGATGTAACCTAACGGAACATCTTCAGAACAGCTCCAAATGACACAAAACTCATATGGGTGAGTAGAACATGATGTAATAACGTAAAATTAAGGAGCCAATGTAAAAAAAAAAAAAAACGCTGTTCCCCTTTAACGACAAAAACACTTTATTGGCAACACTACCCTCTACCATGGCTCTTAAAAGTGGCTAAAAATGATAAATAAGCCAACTAAAGTTTTTGATTACCGGTATAGTATAACAACATCTAACAGACATAGAAGCTTTAGCAGGCTTCTTAAAGAAAATTTGAATTTATTTTTTCACAATAGAATGATATTAAATGTACCTGAAATATGTTTCTAGATCTATTTTTGTTGTCATTACATTATTTGTCTTTAATTTTGCAGGTTTTTTTTATCTTTTCTTCTTACACATCAAATAATATAGAATAGAAGAAAATCTAAACTTCTTTTTATGAAGCTTTTAATGTTTTCCATTGCTTTAAAAAACTTAAATCTGCAAAAAAAAAAAAAAAAAGCAATGCCTGTTTAAAATGGCAAGATATTCCCTACAGCAGATAATTAACGAAAATAATAACTTGTATTTATTAAAAGGTCATGTGACATTTTCAATTTTTATTTAATCAAACGGCTAATGGATTTTAAAGATTTCAGACTTCTGGTGTAACTGGTTTATCTACGGGTTAATATTAATAATTAAGTTTCCTTTACAGTAAACATAGGTGGGTTTATTGCATTTCAAACAGTAAGAGCTTTTAATTCAACACAGTTCTGTACCTTTAACATATGCACATACAATAACAGTTATATTGGCAAGAGATTACTGTGAGTAGCAGTTATTGGTAGAGAACATCCTGTTATTTCCCAGAATGCTTATTGGCAGGTTTGTTTGTTTGTTAACCCTCTGTGACACCATCAGTGAGATCAAAGGCTACATTCACACTGCAGGCCTTGATGTTCAATTCAGATTTTTTTTGTGAAATCCGATTTTTTTGCATTGCCGTTAACATTTCCAAATATATGCGACTTGTATGTGAGCCCCTGTGTGAACTGCATTCATACAACCAAAGTGTCCCGGATGCGCAGTAGAGGACGCAATGTTGTCACAAGCAAGTGTGCTCTGTGTTTACGGAAGTAAACATGGATGGTAGTGCCGGAAAACATCTAGCGATCTTTCCCAACCTTAAAAACACAATCTTTCCAAGTTCTTGCCACTTTGGTGTAGCAAAAAGGAGAAGAGTGACCACTGTCGGGTGTTAATGACATTCAGGACGGATGAACGTAGCCTGGTTGTTCAGACACAGGTTGCATTTGAAAAGATCAGGTTCATATCGGATTCAGGACCACATAGCCAAGTGGCATGGGTCGTATTGGAAAAAATCGGATCGGTGTTGTTCAGACTGCCATATATGGGCAAAAAATTGGATTTGGGTCATTCAGGCTGCGGTGTGAACATAGCCTGTGTGTGTTATAAAGACATGCCTCTTGGGCCCTATTAAAGTTTGCTTCTGTACAGCGGGTCAACTTTGGAGTCATGCATGATCCTAACCCACTGCACTGATCTCAAATTAGTTATTTGATTAAAATGTGGTGGTTAAATCTAGAATTGCTCAATTTATATAAAAAAGTAACCTAAATGTTGCAATTACCAAAGAAAGTTATGTCAAGAGGCTCCACTAAAACAGGTTAACTAAAACTACGTCACAGTCAGTTGCGCTCATTGGTCAGAGCGTTGTCCAATAGGCACAGACATGGTTTGTTCTCATCAACAATCTTCCGATGTCTCATTCATGCGGTCAGGCTAAATTACTCATTTAATCTCACATTTAGTCTGGTTTATCAGGCTAACGCAACACACGTTTCAGCACGGCGCGGTACCAGGCAAACAAAGCGGCGGGTGTGTCTCGGGCCATGGATCCGAAAGGGAAAAAAGTTAGATACCTGATGAGAACAGAGGATTCAAAGAAGAATGGAGCGAATCATTTGCTTTCACTATCAATGCGGAAGGATTGCCTGCAGGTTTGCTTTGTAATGAGAGGTTGTCAAAAAATAAAAAGTGTAATTTGAAAAGGCATTTCCAGGGAAGGCATGCTAAATATGCAGCCTACCACCAAGTTGGGAGTGAAAGAAAAAGTACGATTTCAGAACTTCTATATAAATTAGAGGAGAGCAAAGATAGATGTAAGAACTGGATTGCATCTCCAAACTGCACTACTGCTGCTAGTTTGGTTGCAAGCATGATAAGCTACCCACAGATCAAACAGGTAGTTCTCTTATGCAGGAATGTGAACTTTCTTCCATTTTTTCCGATAAAAATATCAGCAAGGAACGCTGGTGATGGAGGATGTGGGATTTTGGGGTTAGAGAGCGCTGCTCTGATGGATGTCAGTTCCTGCTTGGTTCCTCATGACTCAATCAGCTCCTCCCAACAGAAACACGTCCACCATAGAAAGATTCCTTTATTGTGTTTCTATAATTTCAACAATGCAACAAAACCTAAACCGTGCGGTGAGCGGGGCGGAGCAGAGACGGGGAGTGTGGAATCTGGGGGTCAGTGTTAGTATGACCTAACCATACTTTACATTACGCCAGAGCTTAATCTAACTGATGAGTTTCTTATTCATCTTCACAGAACCAACAGATTTACACTGAGAAGATTATTTGTTAAACTGTTGAACTGGATTTTTGAAGAAGTAGAAAATAAAGGCATGCCACACATTTTGCAAAACAATCTGAGACAATGACTGTCAATAATTTTGCACGGAGTTGTGTCGCCGTGCAGAAGTCACGTTACCCCAAGTCCCTTACCTGGTCAAACGCTGGAAAGATGTAGTCGGCAAACTGGATCTCAGCAATGGCTGTTGCACCAGCAACAGCTGCACCGATGCCGAATCCCACAATCCCCTGCTCACAAAGAGGAGTGTTGAAGACCCTGTCTTTACCTGGGAAAAACAGGAAAGCATGACTTAATAATACAGACATATCAGTGAGGAGAAGGGGTTTATAGTATTTTTTATCGCTATGTTGATACATTTTTAGTCATGATAACAATTTGGATTTATTTTCTGAACAATAAATTCAAATTAGTGATCATGAAAAACTAAAAAAAATGGGTGAATTGTGAATTTTAGTTTTAATATTTTCCTTCTTTCATTAGTTTTTCATTAAAGCCTTGGCAAATTCAAAGAATATGATTAAATGCCGGCACTATGGGATGTTTAGTGATAAAAATCACACTTCATGTAACTGGTAAAAAAAACCCTTTTAGATTTTTACATTTGTATATTTTTTAAGTAATGCTTGTGATTGAGGGGATTTAATTTCTGGGGCATACAATTACAGCTTTTCAATAACAAAGGAACAACTACAAAGAGTTAAAGTGTTTTTATTGTCAGTTTTATTGTTTTTACAGTGGTACCACAAAATAAAGAGACAAGATTTTAAGGTCACAACACACGGAGGAGGAAAACACCCTTATATGACCTTAATATCAGTAAATTATGTTGATGAATTTAGTCCTGCAGAGTGAGCAGAATTACCCACATGTGGAAGAAACAGTAAAGCTAAATTTTGACTAAAAAGTGAGTTTATGTCATATGGTCCGACAAATCGATAAAGTGAGACACTGATGCGTCTCCTTTAGCTCCACTCACAAAACCCCATTGGTGCAAAAACAGAAATAAAAAATGAATTTCCACTTCACAACCTATAATCTAAAAAAAAAAAACCCACAAGAGCGGGAAACTAAATTAGGGTTCAGAGTGTTATTTTTGTCATCTTTGTGTATTTGCCAATCCTTTTATTTTTCTGTTGTGCTGGGAAGTGAGCTGCCGAGCGGTGAATTTCTGCCCTTGTGTGCCCCTTTGAGCTCATAAAAGTCAGCGAGCAGCCGCAGCGCCATAAATCCTTCAGAGGAATGAGCCGTAAATCAAAAGTTATCAAAAATTCAGAGCCTGAAGTCAGACCCAAACACGCAGCTTCATGTGACGGTTGAAGCAAATGACTCGTGCTTTAGTGTTTTTATGCATTCAGGAGCAGGTCAGCCAAAGCCCACATAAAGTTTGCCTATCAGCAGTCACAATAAACATGTTCAAATTAAGCTGCACGGTCCAAACAACAGAAGAAAGTGAAGCTGGATGGGGGACTAAGTCAGTGTTGGTGTTGTTTTCTTCAGTACTCAGAGGTGGCGGCGAGCAGCGAGCGAGCGAGCAGCTGCCTCAGAGCCAGATCAGGAGGTGAATGTGGTGCTCATTCATGTAGCTCCTGCCCTGTATTAACCTCTGCTGCGTGTAATCGCTGCAGGTGGCCGAGGTGCGCGCATCATCCCTTTCTGTAGTGAGAGGGATAAAAACAGCTTTGCGCTCGTCACTGTACACAAGGATGAGATGGAAAATAATGATCCCTCTCCAAAAGGTCAGCACTTCTGACGTCAATAAAAACAAAGACAGGCCAGCTACGTTTGGCAGCATTGGAGACTTCTGGCTTTTAATTCTGCTTATGAAATGAAGAGAAAATGCATTCTGACCAGAAATAACCCAAATTAGTGGCTTTTTTTCCCCAATTAACAGCTATGATGGTGCTGTTACTGGCTGGATTTAAAAGGCCCCTGACCAGTTCGATTCAGTCATTTCACTGTCGTATTTATTGTCTTTAGTGGAATTACCTATTTAGTTAACAGAGCCACTGTCGGCCAGACTAACCGGATTTCACAAAACAAGCAACTATTTGAAAAAGAAAATGACATAAAGACGTTTGCACCTGAGGTTCAGAACTCAGACATTTGGGCCCAGCGTTTTTCCAAGACTTATTCAAAAGGGGGAAAAAAACTACTGCTGTACATAAGAGTCCGTTTGTGGAGAGGAGCTTAAACAGGACATAATGTCACCCACTGACGCTCTTCTTTAAATAACTAAACTAAAGCATATGTCTAAGAGTTCTAATACTATAATGCAGAAAACTGATTCATTATTTCTAATGGTTTCTTAACGCCATTAGATCTCCGTCTTTAACTGCATAAACGGGTCTCTAACACTGGTCCTTAAGATCTGTGCTGCAGGTTTTAGATGCATCCCTGAGGTCAACAGTTGTTTAAACACGATTCTGTAAAACATGCTATTTAATTTCAAATTAAGCCAAGCTGACAGGGATTTTTTTTCTAAAAATTGTGCAGCATCGTAATACTCAGACGGCATATTTACCAACTGGTCAAATTGCACGAAAATGACCAATGGTTGGGGATGTTAAAAAATAACTGACCTACAATTAATTGATGATTAATGGTTTATTAGACTAAAATTAGTTAAATCCAATTAAAGATATAGAGGACGATATTTTATTTCTGGGGGGATCATCTCAATAAGTGGTCCTTCTAATTCTCAATCATTCTGGTGATATGTTTATGTAAGGCCGTCCTAAGTGCTCGTCCCGTTAACTATCTTTTTTCTGCACATGCACACTTTCAGGCGTATAACTGTGGTAAGCTACAATTTCAGACGCTCATTAAAGCTCACCTTTCTCACCGCAGTTCTTTGAAAATGGGTGAGGGTCGTAAGAGCAAAAGAGTACAGAAAGTGTATGAGAAGAAAAGAAAGGCCTCAGAAGAGGCAGATGTATCCCAGAATGCTTTGCTTGGAGAGCTCTCCTTGCAAAGTACTATGGGTACAGGCACCGCAAGAAGAACAAGCAAAAAGCAGTGATCACCTGTCCGAACAGTCAGTTAACCAAGGTCAAAGTCCTTGGTGTATGTGAATACAGTAAGCTTTAATGACCTATGGGAACAAGACATTTTAAACAGGGTGTGTATGTGGAGAAATGGCTCGTGCAAGCACGTGAATTCCACCTAAAAGGAATTTTTCAGTGTTGTAGTGTTGCAGTCGTCCAGTAGTGGGCCCCACTGTTCATTCTGCAGCAAATGCTCCCTGGTATTAGCATTAAAAGCACTGCTGGAGTGGAGGCCTACTAGAGCATACAACATGAATCGGTCTAGTCCAGCCTTTATTGTTTACATTTTCCTTCATTTACAGAGTTTGGCCAGAATAGACGCTTCATACTCGGTCGCAGAGTAATATATGCCCGCCAGTTAATCGAGAGGGAAGCTCTTGGGAGCCGCAGATTTTCAACCTCATTACATGAAGCTGCCAGGAATCTCATGTTTTAGTGTTATAACTAGGGATGTCCCGATACAACTTATTCCTTTCTGATATTGATACTGATATTGCACCTCTGATACCGATATTAACCAGATACAATACCAACACGAATCGTACATACTTTAATACTTATTTTGTAGTGTTGAACATTGGAAAAGGTTTGATCGAAAGCTATCACTCAAAAAGAACAATAATCAACTACAGTAGGTATGAGAACTGACCCATGCATCATTAACTGATGGGTTACAGAAACTTTAAACGGAATCTGAGTGTTTTTATCAGACAATATATGACAATAACAGAGATTTTAGGAGCAGGGCGACATAATCCCAGATTAGCTTTTTGCCTGTATCTGATCTATGTTAAATATCAATGTCGGATTGGGACACCCCTGGTTAAAACTTGTTTATTGGGTTTAACGTAAAACCTGCTGGAAATTTCAATGCAAATTTTTTTTTTTTTTTTTATGCGAGACTTCATTCAAAGCAGAAAAGGCCACAAGAGGGTGCTTTAAAATAAAAAGGTTAATTTTGATCCTCCTCCTGTATTGACCTCAATCCTGGAAGGTTGCTAACATTAGCCCGCCATGCTATCCCCACTTCAGTCAGTTCTAAGCCAAATGAAGCGATTTCACCAATCAGGTAGGGTTGTCAAAAGTATTGATACTCAAAAAAGTATCGATACTGAAACGTTGTATCCGGATACAATACTCGTTTTTAAAAGTATCGATACAGTGCCACCACCAGTGGCACCTAAGCAGTCATTCATCTAAAGTGCAGAATAGAGGAAAATGTTCTTTCAGAACACTGTGTGATTGAATAATTCTGTGCACTTTTCAGTTTCAGACTTTTTTTTTGTACGAGGTTCATCTGCTGAGAATTATTTTTGTTTCTTAACTGCTTTGGCTAGTGTCATTGTTATGTGTGCAAAGCATAGCCAAGGAAGGAACACTTAATTTTAATTTTATACGTTTTTTATCAAGCTTGCTTAATATTGTGCACAGCATACAACCTCAAAATATTCTTCTTATTGTTTATTGTATTTTATTTATTAATGAACATATTTCTGTAGAATTGTGGAGTCTTTGTTTTTATCCTTGTGGTATCGAAAATGGTATCGAGTATCGAATATTTTCCTTAGTATCGGTATCGAGTTGAAAAGTTTAGTATCGTGACAACCCTACAATCAGGGACTCCCCTGCAGGCAGTCAGTAAACGTTACTACTTGTGTAACATTTTACATATCGCGTAAAAAGACTGATAAACAGTAATATACAAAACATGGAAAACTAATAATGCTCCTAACGCTACATCCACTTCAACTCTCATACACACAAGTCAAATTCTAGTGCGCACCTTTCCAAGGGTAAAGGTAGGGGTCTGAATGAGCTCGATTTAATTTATTTTCTTTTAAAGCCCATTAAATATGAAATTAAAGACTATTTAAGGTGGACTGTTGAATTAAATACCGGGTTGTGACTCGTTTAAGTAAACGGGAGTCATAAACTCGATGATGACTTAATTTAATCCTCATAAGTAGCATTTAGGGGTTTTAAACAACTGCAAGAATGCAACAGTAAAATAATATATTAGATATCTCATCTTTTGTTGTAGATCACTGCTCATTTTTTACCTCTGAACTAAAAAATGATAAAGAACTATTTACTACATATGTGGATGAATTCTAACTACTATTGTCGGCAAACCCAGAAACCTTTCTAGAGGATTTTGAAAAAACTTATTCATTTTCTAGCAATTTTCCCACCACTAGATCCTTCATGGAGTGATTCATCCAGTCACTTCCATTACCCTAAAAGGTAAGCAACTGCGTAAACAGATAACAGGGGTTAGCCTTCTGTAGTTGCCTCAGCTCTAAAGAACCAGAGTCATATTGAAGGCCAAAGCTATCCTTGCTGACCTAAGCCTCCCTCTTTCCCATAATTACAGGTTGCTGCCATCTGCTTGCAGATCTGTGATAATTAAGTGCATTACGAAAAGGTAGAAATGTTCATCTGGTCCTGTCAGTCTGTCTCATTAATAATTCACCCAGCAAGTAGAGGCTGTTGGCGGTTAAGCTTGTAAACTGGTTGTAATGCTTATCTTGTATTTCTGTCAAATGTATTCATATTTTACCGTTTTGTCTGCTAAAAAAACACAAGCTGAGGATAAGAAAGTAAATCTAGATTACAATCTGATAAGATTTAAGGATATAAATAAATGTAGTAATTACATGCTGTTCAGCAGCATAGCTGAACTAGACAAGCCAAGCCAATTTTATTTATAAAGCTCTTTAAAAAACGGCAGTCTGTCCAAAATGATGAAAGAAAGAATGAGAAAAACACATGGAATATTTAAAATTAGAAATAAAGAGAAACAAGAGAAAACAAGACAGAAAGGAAGGAACTAACAAAATAAACAACTCATTCTGGGGCAGAAGCCATACAGAAGAAACGGGCCTTAAAAGCACACTCACAAAATCGACATAGGTAGATAATTGTAGAGCCAAACATTTTATCATTAATGTTATCATTATTGCAATTAGAAAAATTAATTAAAACACACTCTTAACAATTTTATAATACAATGTCATGTCAATAACTCCCCTGCCAAATTTTTATCTCTGAAAACTTGAATAGGATCTTTCTAAACCCCCTATAGCTATAAAGATTTATTACTCATAAACAAATTCTTTTTAGAAATGTTCAAATTTCTCCTTTAAAATACATTTTTAAAAAAACTGTTAAGCAGAATGTTTTACTATGAAGCAGCTGTGCTGTCTGTCAAAGAGAATCTATAAATCATAGGAAAAGTAGAGGAAAGATTAGCACTTTTAAACTATTTATTTCCCCATAGAAGGACTGATCTTTTCACCTCATGAGACTTAAACGCCTCCAAATTAGGGTACCGACTGCTAGCCCACACAAGGGGTGACTTCGAGATGGACGGTCATTTATCATCAACTCTGCTAAACTGTGTTGGGATGCAGCATCTTTCTGCATGGAGAATACCTACCAGAAAGATTTTATTGAGGATGTTCTTCAATCTAAAACCCAAGGAGGCAGATTATGTAAATCCCTTTATTGCCCCACAATGGGGAAATTCCCTCTATGCATTTAACCCATCCCCTTGGGGAGCAGTGGGCTGCCATTGTGCGGCGTCCGGGGAGCAGTTGGGGGTTAAGGGTTTTTCTTAGGAACCAGAGTGCAGGCTCAAACCGGTTACTTGCAAACTTCCCAGAGCTCAAGTGAACTGCTCTAACCACTAGACCAACACTTCCCATACACGGCATCATATCACTGCTTTATCTGTGAAAGGCTCTCCTGCCGCGAGGCACACGTGCAAAACGTGATGACAGATTCTCCTGGTCTCTCAGGTGCACCTTTTTGATTTTTCACCAGCACATGAACCAAGCAGCTTAGTTTTTACTTTATGCTCTGCTGCCATCTAGTGGTGTTACACAAGCAGCAGGCTCAGGACTGTATCTTACCATATTTGTCTCTCAGGCCAACCGTGCACCGGAATACTCCTCCAAAGGCAACATCTTCTCCAAAGATGACTGTGGGTGAAAAACAGAAAACATACGGAGGGTTAAATATATCCAATGTACTTTAAAAAAAAAAAAAAAAAAAAAAAAAAAACTTTGGTCTAAAATGAAAAGTTCCTGTTTTCTCAACTGATCAACATTTGATTCCAATTTTTCTGAAAGGTTTTCTATCAATTATATCACAATAAAATTAAACTTGATACAATTTTATTTATTTTAAACAGTTTGTATTCAGCAGTCAATTCTGTTGAACTCGCCAATAAGAACACAGGCCCACCCCATCACACGTTTTTCAGATCTAAAGAAAAATACTGAATCTCAGCAATCATCTCAAATCATTTTCCAAATGTCCATTTATCTTTTATTTACTCTATAACAAAATATTTTCTCTAAATGAATTTTCTTCACTCTCAAATAAAATCTGATTTTTTTTCTCTAATATATTTATTTTCCCCTTTCAGCTCTCTCTTTTTTTGCTTGAATTTAATAAAAACACAAAAATAACTCCATAAAGCAGCAGCTTCATGTTAGTTTGCTCCCTACCTCTAAGTTAAATCTAGGAAGACAAATAAGTAATATAATGTCCTGAGTGCTGACAGCTCTAAGATGTTTTTTACTTTTTATTTTCTTTTTTTTTTATAGTCCAATACTTTTATTCAGGTTTTATTTCACAATTTTTAAATTAGATTCCCAGTTGATCCAAAACAACCCTTCGTTTAGTCATTGTACTAAATTGTCATCTTTGTTCAGTGTGCTAAAATCATCTTTTTTTTTTGTTACCTAGTACCATGAGCTGTGTTTTTGTTCTAATTTAGAGAAACATATACTGCAATGAAACCACTTAAATTTACACATCTCACACGTCAGATGTTCAATTACGTTTTTTAAATAACTCCTAGAAAAGAATCTATTTGTGTCATCTGCCGATAGAATGCATTGCCACATTTTAGACTCCTCGCAAATGTAGTTGATATACAAAATAAAAGGCTTTGGTGCTGGACCTGTAACTTAATGGGAAAAAACCCTAAAGCCATTCATTTTTTTAGAGCACAAAATGTACAGACTAAAAACAAAGACTTTAACATTGCTTTAGCATTGCTCTTGGTGCAAATGTGTGCCACTCATTATTTCCCCGTCTCCTTTAAAATTCCACTTACAGATTTTGTAGGAGACCTACCTGCTGTCGGATCACTGGCGAGCGTGTTGTCCAAGGCACTTGTAATCGACTGGAACAAGTTCATCTTCTGTGTGGAACCTAACCATCAGCAGAAAAATAAAACCGACCAGTTAATGTTCAACAGCAATATGAGAGACAACTGTTCAAGCAATGGAATCAGTATGAAAAATAAAACCTGGCTCACAAATGATGCAACCAATATCCATTGCTACAATGGCAGTACAAATTTGACAAAGTGCTTAAGTGGAAACATGAAATATACACAAATATGTATTTGATTGGTGGTTGTAGTAAAATATATGACTGGAGGAAAGATAACACAGGGAATCACTCAGTGAATTTTAGATGGCAACTACTTCGATTTATGTTTAAAGCTACAGTGTGTAATTTTCAGCGACATCTAAGGTCCAGACTGCAGACCGCAG